ATAGCCAGACTGAGGATCTGATTACTGAGCAGGAGGACTTGGAGCTGTTGCGGTTGGCGCCATACTCCCCCATGTGTAACCCGATTGAGGGTACGTTTACAGACAATTATAGCGTGCACATGTACTAACATTTGTGTCTATTTTACTGTGCGGCAGGGTGTTTTACATGTACATAGTGTATTAAAAGCACGCATTAAGGCTTATCTTGCCTTAAGTCATGACGTAATGTTTCTTGCTCCACACGGAGAGAAAACAGAGCGCCGGATGCAGCTGCTTGAAAACGCTGCAGAGCATAGCTTGCCATGTATGGATCTGCGCTTGGTTAACAAGATGGCGCGCCACTGTGCGTTGTCAGTGGCGGCAGCTATTCGTAGCGAACCTATGGAGTACGGCACGTAAAGTTTTGCACTACACTAAATCAACTTTGCATGACAGGCTTTTTCTAAAAAAATAAATTCAAAAATTAAAAAAAATTAATTACGGGACGTTCCACTTTGCTTTACACTGTCGCCGATTTGGACTGGCAAAGGTGTAGACGCTCAATGTCCTGGTAAGTTAGTGTAGGTTGTGGAGGTAGAGACTGTGACAGTGACTTTGTCATAGCATCGTGCGACTCCATTATTGCGGTTTTTAACTGCGCTTCAATGCGTTTCACGTCTACTGCTGGTTCGTGAAGGCCTGCGCTTGCTGTCCAACATCATGTAGCACATCCCGACGAATGATCTCTATTCGCTGATTTACTGTGGCTTCGAGCTGTTCAGCTTGTTCCGTTTGCGTTCGCACCAGGGTATTGAGCTGTGACGCCATGGCAAGTCGCGTGTCTTGTAGTTCTTGCTGAAAACTAAGTGCACTTGCCTGCTGATGACTGGCGAGCTGCTCTATTCCAACTTGTGCTGACTCCTAAGCAGCTATCAAAGCCTCAGTCTGCGCATGAGCTTGATGCTCTTGCTGCCACTGGAGATTCGCGTAGCTGGTAGCTAAATCCTCCGTACGTGTCCAAAACTGATTCACGATACTTCCAACTTGTTCTTCGTAAGCTCCCATCACATTACGTGTTGCAAGATTGGCTGTCAAATTTGCATCATTATTTTATATTTGGTGCCACAAGTGTCAACGCTCGCTCTCCATCGTGCTCCATAGCCTCTGCAACATTCGTTTGCACCCTTGTCATAACCGTTTGGCTGAATGCTAACACCGATTTAGTGTTCTAAATCGCGCTCCCACTACTTGATCTCAGCGCTCAGCGTGTTCTCAAATGGCGCTGTGACCGCGTCCTCTGTGCACTTGCCCGCAGTGCCAATAAAGTTTTCGGCCACACTTGACGCTCGCCGTGTTTTGGGTCACGATCTCGCCGTAGGTCTCTGCAGTACCTGCTCTGTTGTGACCCGCGTCCACGCTGACTTTGTTCTCAGCGCTCACCAAATCGAAGCTTACACCCGCACCACACTTGCTCTCACCACTCGCTGTCCCTTGATCATGCCCACCCTGCACTTGCTCGTAGCGCTCACCGTGGCCTGGTGACGGCCTCTTTGCACGTGTGCCTACGCCGAACCTGTTAACTGTGGGCTATGGACCACCTGTGGGTTTTAAATAAATCCATAAATGTCCAATCCTAGAAGTTTATTCGTATTTTATTTAAGCGAATATGAGAGCTTGAAAACGAGCAATGTAGCTGAAAACCTCGAGCTCCCTCTCTACCCCCTAAGAGCAGTAAAACCTCACGAGCTGAGCTCGTGAGGTTTACTGCTCTCCTGTTTTCTGCGAGAGCTGAGCCTCGTCGGATGCGTGCCCATAACGCAGTCAATTCTTATCATTTGATGGTGCGGTTTTCACACAAGTTGCAAACCATGCTTCAAAAAAGCAAGGATGTGCTAACGCTCGCGTTTTTGCACTTTACAGGGAGGCTCACATACAAAAATGAGATTGTCAAGCTGGTCACAATTTATGGCCGTCATCGGTCCAATTCAGAAACCTATATAAAATAAAACATGTGTCATTTCGGCTGACTAGAGATATATATGGGCTGTTTTCTTTAAGCGATAAAATGGACACTAGGGAGCGAAAGCTCAAAGTAGTTGCATGGGGGTATACACAATACTATTATACGTAGCGTGTTGCACTCGCACCGTCGGTGCGTGAACCCGCTGATGTACCACTGAACCACTCGGTGAGAGAGTAAGTAAGAGATTGAGTGAGTGAGTGAGTGAGTGAGTGAGTGAGTGTGTGAGTGAGTGAGTGAGTGAGTGAGTGAAGGATTGAGTGAGTGAGTCGACGAGATGTGAGCAAGCTGCAAGCTTCCAGCAGCTCAGGCCTGTCTCTCATCTTCCTGTCACTCGCAGTGTTGCGATTGTTGTCGAAGCCTGCAAACGTCCGTGTTTCGATGTCGCAGTCCTCTTCGCAACTCATCGCTCAGTCCACTGAGCGAAGCTTCACGCGTTGTTGGTGTTAGAAGTCTCAAGCGGCTGGTGTATCGTCATCGTGTTTCCCGTAATTTCGCCGCCATGGGCGCTTGGACGTCGTGAATGTTCCACGTTGCTAGCATTTTATCTTGGTTCCGCGTGATGTGTCCTCGCCGGATAAAAACGGCTGCTGAACGCGCGTCTGCCGACGTGTTCTCGGTGGAGTCGAACTCTCGCGTACTGCGCGAGAGCAAGCAGAGCAACGCACTTGGACTACACGTCAATGACTCTAGCTCGTGTCGCATTGATGGCCACGCTATTATTGAAGCGTCGCCCCAAATGATCTTAGACAGACCACAGTTCGAAGTCCACCAGCGTCGATACCGGCACCAGCTCCGGCATTCTCCCACGTTATCGCTCGAGGTTACAGGTCGCTGCGCATGCTCGTCGTCGAGCGTGACCGCCCACCAGCCAAGGCGCCAGTGTATTGGTGTCGCGAGCATCATCGCCGCCGTTGCCGTCGTGTTCCAGGCGTCTTCTCCAATGTTCTTCGTCTGCGCTTATGTTGCGAAAGTGCAACTTTAAGAGGGGGGATGATGTAACGGGGCTACACGCAAGTGGCTACACATATGTTACGAAAAAGGGTTTCCATATTACTGTGAGATATACCAAAGGATACATTTGGCAGAATGTTGGTCTGTATGCATTCAAGGCATTCATTGGTTGAAAGTCAATAACTTCAACCAATTAGAATAATAGGATTCTGTTTAACCATTCGTTAATATGTATCTTGCATTTAGAATATCCCGGCACGCACTCAGATGTTCCGGGTGCAGTCAAGCGCTCTCGAAGAGGCGATTCAAGTGGCTCTTCAAGAAGAATACAGCCATCGCCAGGCGCGTACGCCGGTCTCAGCATGGCCTGAGAGTTCTTTGTCGACTTCCGGTCGAGCGAGCCCCAACGAACCAGTTCCCGTGGAACTCGGGTCCGCCGAGCAGCGCGACATCCGCTGCTTCGGCTGCGGGAAGATGGGCCACTTCAAGCGCGACTGCCCCGCGGAGATACACCGCAGACGGATTTTCCTCTAGCCCCTCCACAAGGGTCGCTGGTAGAAGCCAGGACCCCGGGGACAGGGGGACGCCGGAGACCAGTAGGGGCGGGGCGCCCTACTTGGGAAGAACTAAGTCTTCGTGATGGGTGCGCGGGTGGCGCGTACCACGTGGACTTAGCCCCTGAGAGTCTTCGCACTCTCGAATCGGCGAAGAGCGGCGGCGGGTTGCTCGTAGCCCACGGATGTGTACGGGGATACGATCACCCCTTTAGAATCTTGATCGATTCTGGGGCGTCGAAGAATTTCACACGCCGCCAGACAGTTGCTCGTAATAGCAACAAGTTGTCCGATGCTTTGAGAGAAAGCAAGGGCAACGGGACGGTGTCAGTGCGACTTGCCGGCGGGAAGGTCGTCACTATCCCCAAGGTCCAAGTGGATCTGGCCGTCAAGTTTGAAGACTTCGACAGCCCAGAACAGGTTACTGCTCTCGACATGGATCCCAACGATTTGAAGCTGGGCATTCCCTGGCTCAAGAAGCAAGAGTCCTGCATCGACTGGCGAGGCAATGCAATCGGTGCCAGCCGCCTTGCGAAGTCCGACAAAGCATTGGCGAGTCATGTTCCCACCTCTGTCAGGGTTCGGGGCGCCCGCAAGGGCTGCCAGGGTACCGAAGCATCCAGCAGATGCTTGGGAGTCGTCGACGTATATGCCAACTCCGAGGAAGCTTCGATGGTGTCGACGCCATGAGGCGCTGGTCAAGTGTGTAACTTTGTTCCACAAGCGGGTTATATAGTTACACAGACAACTGCAGCTGTCACGAACGCTGGACATAGCGTGTTCAAGCAGGGTAACAAAGTGCCACACGAGGCCTCGAGTGCCTCGGATGTCGGCACCACGACATCCCCAGACATGGATAACGAAGTTCCATGTCACGGCCGCCGTCGACGACGACACCACCGCCGAGAGTCGGAGCAGATCCTCGTTCCGATCGACGTCGCTTCAAGCGACTCGGAGTCCAGGGCCCGGGCTTCTCCGACACGGTCGGTGGAAGAGTGTTATCACATCTTCGATGGCGAGACCAGCTTACCGCTTAGAACCATTGCCAGAAGTATCAAAGATACTGAACCTCGAGGAAACGACGGCCGAGTCTTTCCTGACTAATCTCAAGGCTGGAGAGATTACCGAGATGGTGATCATAAGACCGGAGACCACTCGGGAAGGGTTGATCTTCTCCTCAGGCTTGGATGAGGACGTCCTAGAGGAGTTGAGCAAGCAGTGTCAGACGCGCTTGTGCTCTGAGATCCTTAAGAACCCCAAGGATCTGGTGTATCCTTTGGTGACGGATTATGCAGGCGTGGTGAACAAGCACCCACCGACCCACCTCCCACCGGATCGAGGCGTACGGCATGAGATTGATCTCGTGCATGGCACAAAGTACTGTGTCACGAGACAACGGTCTTCCCACGCGAACAGTGCGAGGTCATTGATGCCTTCGTCGCTGCGAATGCGGTGCGGGAGTCAAAGACTGCGCACTTGACGCCAATTTTCTGCGTTCGGAAGCCGAACGGGAAGTGGCTTCTATTTCACGCTTATAAATGCTGAGCAACGCGACGGTGCCGGACCCGACACCAATCCCACGAAAAGATGTGTTGCTAAACAACATGGCCGGATGCGTACTGTACAGTACGTTGGATTTGGTAGACGGATATTACCAGATCATGATGCGCAAGAGCGACATTCCGCTCACCGCGGTGGGCACTCCAAGCAGCATGCTTTAAGAGCGGTCATGTGCTCGCTTGCACCTGAGTCAACGAGTCATTCAGCCTTGGTCATCCCACTCGCAGCAGTGAGCTCGAAATCTGACGCTGAGCCTGCGTCACTTGTTCTCGTTCCGTGTCGGCTATCTTCTTCGACACACGAACTTCTTGTGCCCTGGCTTCTTGCAGTAGAAACACGTGCCATTGAAGCCAGTCTTATTCCCGAAGTCCTTTCTCTTCGATGTAAATGCCCTCTTTCGAGCCGATGACAAGTCATCCAAGGTTTCAACACCAGAGAGTGCTTGGATCGCATAAGCGAGTGTCTCGCTGGGCGTGTTCTCCAAAACAGTCGCGAGCATACGGTACTCGTCGGTTAAGCTTCCGAGCAACAGCACGAGCTGCCGAGTTTCGTCCAGAGATTCACTGATTGCCTCCATCTGGAGTATTTGCTTTTTAAACTCGTCCACATGGACAGCGATCCTCGTACCGGGCTCCATCTTAAAGCTGTGCAGCTTCGTTGTAGCGATGAGCCAGTTCTTGAGCGTCTTCGGGCTGAAGTATTCCTCGATCTGGGTCCACGCTTCAGCGGCAGTCAGTGCTTCACATATGTAGACATGGTAAGTGAGACGCACATCTCCAGCGATAGCACCAAGGGCTTTCAAATTGCTGGCCTTCCACGCTACCGTGGAGGGGTCACTCACTTGGTCGGGCTCAGTCTTGATGATCTGCAGGAGCAGACCCTTTCGGGCGAGATTCATCGGCATGTTGAACTCTCAGCAGAAGTAGTTGTCTTCCATGAGCTTGTCGGTACTGTCGGCGTAGCTTGGACTCATAACCATTTGAGAGTAGAGGATGATGCGAGCGAGGCTTGTAGTCGATGTGAGCCGATGAATGGAAATTGGAAAGTGAGATTGATTGAGTAAGAGGTCCTAACACTTCTTCCTCTATCCTACATGCAGCCCCTAGTACCTCCAATCACGGGCAGTCCGCGTCTACAGAATAGTATACGCAATGGATACGCCTGTGTTCAACGGACACACATGTATACATTGTATACACCACATGTCACGATTGTCCTCTCGCAGCAGATCCCGTGATAAACCCAATTGAAGTTGGCGACCAATCACAATTCAGGATACCACATGATCTACCAATCAGGTCGCACTATTCCTGTCACTTCACTGTAGCACGCATTCGGCACGCGCACGCCGCGTGCCAAGCGGTATCTATCCAGACGAGTAGACAGCGAAGTGCAACCACAACACCATACATGTATTGAATATGGTCGCTGTATGGCTTCTGTTTGTTTCCTATGATGGTTTGACTGGACCAATCAATTGCTTTGGTTCGGTGAGATTCTGAGAATAAAAGCTACACGATTTTGAATTGCACTATTTGAATTCCCAGAAAAAATAAAAGTTCAAAGAATTTAGCCGAAATGGTTCATGCGGAGCAGTGTAGTAGATCTTATCGTCCGGTAGCAAATTAGTAAATACAACAGCAAACTAAACTCACAGCGTTTCGACGCCATTTTTTCTGCAATTAGAAATCATCCTAGAAGGTGACATTAAAGTTTCGCGTTGCCT